TGGAGCCGGCTCCACGCGAGGTGCGAGAGCCCCGCGTCTGCGGCGTCCGCGACCGAGCCGTGTCGGGGCGCGGGAGACCGGGCTTGGCCCGGGCCCGGCTGCGCAGCCTTCTGCACCCCCGTTTGCGTTCCTCCCCCGGAACGGACGGTGCGTCTGTACGATACAGGCAGGGGTTTTAATCGGCAGAATCACTGAAAAAGGAAAGGCTCCCTTACTGCTAATATGTTGCTGGCCGTATTGCAGAAAGACTTGCCGTAATGGCAAACTTCCATTTGTCGGAGACAAGCTGTCTGTCACAATAAAAATAGAGACAATGAAGACAAAGCAAGTCTGAAGAAGTGGAAATTAAAATGTTTTGGCAGTGAAACCGGATTTATTAATGGACTGAGGGGGCAGTTTGTTTTTGCTGAAGTTGCAGTCGTTTTTCATACATAAATATTGGTGCTGCGCATGAGGTAGGGATGAGCAAGGAGCAGAGGCGTGGTGCAAGGCATGCTGCCGTGCAGGTGCCCGGTGGTTCTGAGGGCTGCTTTGCTTTCTGCTGGACCTGCCGGCCTCGGGCAGCGTGCGCTTTGGGGAGCTGGCCGCCTGCGCCCTTTTCCACGGTCACGGCCACACGGGTCTCTGTCGGGATGCGCCCCTGGGGCAGGGGCCAAGGGCAGGCGGGGTGAAGGTGTGTTCTCAGCGCATCGAGCTGGTCAGACGAGAACTCGGGTCCCCCCCATCATCACCCACCAGGCGAGACCTCAGAGCACGGGGGATGAGGCTGCCCCGCAAGCCTGGCAGCGTAGCTCCTGTCCTCACCTGGGGTGGCTCCTGCATCCTGAGGGCCAGGAAGCTGCTGTCAGTCGATTCCTGTTCCCTGGCTTTGCGATGTGTGCGGCTGCAGCACCTCGCTGCCTCCCGGTCTTGCCTCAAGCGATGCGGTGAGTAACTGTCGCATGCTTGTTTCCTTCCACCTTCCCCGGGGAAGGGAGCTGGTGCGGCACTGTGGCATGTTTTGTAAGCCCCGTAGGGGTTTTTTGGCTGCCTTTATATGTGCGCATGTCGCTCAGCTCTGATGAGGAGGACTGGAAAGGAAAGTTCATTGTGCTGGCGGCTGCGGGGTGGCCGTAGCTGTCACCTGGAGCAAGCCGGTCCCCTGGCCAATACCCTTTCTTCTGAAAGCTTTTTCACTGTATTTCTCAATAGGAATTCGGTTTTTGCTTCCACCCAACAGATTATCGTGCCCCTGCTTCAGAGGAAGCGGGAGGCTTTCTGCAGCGTTGGGCTGCCCGCAGCAGGGCGAGCAGCCGAGTGCCTTTTGCTCAGAGCCGCTTGGGGCACGCTCGCTGCTGAGCCTGCTGTCCCATTTGGTGCAAGGCACCTTTTGGCAGGCAACACTTGCAAAACACGCCAGGCAACCTACAGTCACGGTGTAAATTTTCAGAATAGGATGCAGGGAGAGACATGCTGTGACTATCACGACGTATGGTGAGGCGACAGATGGCTCCCACGCATTTGCTCCTGAAAATGCTCCCCCAGTGGCTAGCTCCTCCCTTGCTGATCCGTGCTCTCAGGGGCTTCCAGTGTGATTATGAATTCACTTCATTGTGTTACATTTGTGTTATTTCCTGTGCAAAGAAGCTGGAAGGGATCCTCGGGACCTGTGCGAGGGCCATGGATGGGAGCAGCCAGCCGTCACCAAAGGACCCACGGGCTGAAAGCCGGAGCCTCTGCCACCGTGTTGCTGTGCCTGCACAGAGCCCCGAAGTCTGGTCCCCCGCGGGCAGGCACAGGCTCTGGACCCGATTTTCGATGTGATGAGGCAGGTGAATGTAACAAGCCAGGGGTCTCCCGTACGCTGCCGCACGGCCGTGACCCCCGCAAGGGGCACACGTGGGCCTAATGAGGGGCAGACGAGGGTCACCCCCGAGGACACGGGCAGAGCCCCAGCCCATCCCGTCACCCAGTGACGCTCTGTATTTTCGTGGTGCGTGCGTTGTTAACTTCATGCGTATCTTTTCTGTGCCATTTGTCTCGGTCTGCAACGTCGTTTCCACTGGTAAGCCTCTAAACTGGGACAGAAATAAGGGACACACTTTAGTTTCTCACCAGATCCAGTCTTAAATGTCTTGGGATTTGTCAAACACGTGAAAGAGCTAGAAACTTGCCGGGCCACACTGCAGAGCACTGCTAACTGTTAACACTCAGCAGTTAAATCATTCGGTCCCGAATGGTGCATTATTTGATGGTTTCCCCTAGAAGATGAAGAGGTGGAGAAGCAGTAGAGTTTGAACACACACAGCAAAAAGATACAAATCAACAGCAATTAGGAAGGTTAAAAGAAAGAAAAAAAATCCCAGCTAGCTTTCATGTGTCCAGCCTGTTCACATTCCGTGCTAGAATAACGCTGATCTGACTCGCTGCTGGCATTAATGAAGTTTGCACCTCTGGGTGAGCAATTTAATTTATCTCGGCAAGCCAAAGCTCATTATAACGGTCCGTAAATGCTATCAGATGAAAGCAGCATCCTTCAGCAATCTCGGGGATTAAAGCGAGGAGGCATTCAGCCGACAAGGCTTCTGCTGGAAAGACTGCAGTGGGAGCATGTGTGTCACAGGCTGGAGGCACGGTACCTCAGCTGCCGCGGCGGATTTGTGTGCCGAGAGAGGGATGGGGGCCCCTGTGACACTCGCTGCAGGTGAGCAGCCCCCTGCCCCCCCTCTCTCGGGACACCTCTCCGCAGGGTTCGTCAGGCCCGGCACCAGCTGGAGCGGCGCGGGGGCCTGGGGGCTCCACAGGTTGGCTGCGGACTGATCGCTCTCCGGGGGGAACGGGAGGCTCCTCGGAGGCGCAGGGGCTTGAGCACCGACGGCACACAAAGGGGGTCAGGGTGGGAGGAGGCAAATGGCCGATTCTCTGATTCTGTCCCCTTGGGCGTGGAAACCTCCTTGCCACGTACGTCCCCTCCCATGCCGGATCCGGCGACTTGAAATACAGCTTCCACCGCTGCGCTGGCCTCCCCTCGCCTTGCT